CTCGGTTTTAGTTCTACTAAGCCTAAACCCTTTCGATTCCAAGGTTTATCTCCATAACTCTAACTTCCTATTAACCCCCGTCCGACTATCATCAACTAGCACCATATCATCCGCAAAGAGCATACACCATGGGATATCTCCTTGTATATCCCTTGTGACCTCATCCATCACCAATGCAAAAGGATAAGGGCTCAAAGCTGACCCCTGATGCAGTCCTATCTTAATCGGGAAGTCATCAGTGTCGACATCACTTGTTCGAACACTTGTCACAACATTATCGTACATGTCCTTGATGAGGGTAATGTACTTTGCTGGGACTTTATGTTTCTCCAAAGCCCACCACTTGACATTCCGCGGTATCTTATCATAGGCCTTCTCCAAGTCAATGAACAACATATACAAGTCCTTCTTTTGCTCCCTATATCTCTCCATAAGTTATCGTACCAAAAAAATGGCTTCCATGGTTGATCTCCCAGCCATGAAACCAAACTGATTTTTGGTCACGCTTGTCATTCTTCTTAAGCGGTGCTCAATGACTCTCTCTCATAGCTTCATTGTATGGCTCATCAGCTTAATTCCACGGTAATTAGTACAACTCTGAACATCTTCCTTGTTCTTGAAGATTGGTACTGATATACTTCGTCTCAATTCTTCAGGCAAACAAATAAATTTACGAGAAATCTATCTTCCCTGGGGCTTGGGCCTATTTCGCATCCGCCCTTATCTAGAATGGAAGACAGATAACCTCTTATGTGTGAAGGGATAGACACTTAGAAAAAAATGTGAGGAGATATATTTGTACCTAACGAAGATAATCTTCCATCTATCTATTCCAACTCAACAAAAAATGATATAACTGTCATCTTCTCTAAAGTACTCATCTCTAGAGAGAAATCACTGCACTAGTCCATTTCCTTGACAGTGAAGGAACTATGCAATAAAGTGCGCTAGAGGACTTTCCCGACAAAAAAAGAGAGGACAATTTCCTCTCTATTACAACTACAACTTAACAAACCAAAACATTTCTTCGGATAGGTAGGAAGGCATAGGGCTCTGGGCGAAGACGGAGGTCAATGCCTACAATGATGACACACTTAGACCAAAAGCGTTGTTCCAAGCTTGAGCTCATGTGAGCTCGGGTGAACAGTAAAAAAAGCAATTCCGAATTTTCTTTGTGTGAAACATTGACAAAGTTTTTTCATAGATTGCAAAATTCATTAGGATATGACATCCGTGGAAAGTGTGGAAAAAAACAAAATCATGCTCCAAAAATGTGTTTGGAAATAAATTTTGGAGCATTGATTTTGTTTTTTCTACCACGATTTTTAAGAATGTCATATGGTCCACGATTTTGTCAATGTTTCACACAAAAAAAATTCAGTTTTTTAATTCTTTTTTTTGATTTTACTGTTCACCTGGGCTCAGGATTAGAACAGTCGCATCCATCTTAGATGTTCTTCTTGGTCGAATAGTAATTCCTCTACATGGATGCTGGTGTGGCTGAGCTCTTCCCCAAGGTTAGGTGAGGTAGTCGTATGTAGTTCTAGACGAAAGCTTAAGTCGTTGAAAAGGGTCGACGGCGCAAGAGGACACCTTGGATCAACGAGCCATTGTTTTTTCTCTCCTTAGTGTTTAAATCATCAATATATATATATATCCTTTGGTTTTTCCCATCTTGATGAAATGGAAAAGAACACCTGCTTTGTCGTAAAAAAAGTTCAAATAAATTTGAATCGGAGAGAGTAACATTTATTTGAAGTGAAAAATGGCCACGGCAGTTTATCCTTCAAATCAAGCACGTAACACCAAACAAAAAAAAAACACGACTCCGCTGGGGATCGAACCCAGAATCTCTGGTTTCGTAGACCAGCGCCTTATCCATTGGGCCACGGAGTCCTCGACGAATGGTCTCTCCTAGACTCCCTTAACCGGAGAGAGTAACGCTCAGACTGCGGTCGAACAGTCCGAGCTGCCCAGGTAAGAAATCATGTCACACCTGCACTGCGGTTGAACAGTCTGAGCTGCAGAAGTAAGAATCACACTGCGCCAATTTTTCGGTCCGCTATTTGGTGCGTGCCCGGCCCGGCTGTGCTTGTGTGGTGCGCAGCGCTCGGCATGGCGCCCATCACGCACCAAATACCATCATTTTCAGGCTACCTCAAATGCCCGCTTCCATTCCATCTCAAAAAATGTGTTCCACTTCCAAAAGAAGGAAGAAGAAAGAAAGAAAGAGGAAAGCCACACTTATTCCCCTCGGACTGTTCCAAAGGTCCGCAGGACAAGGACAGGAACGCTCCAAATCAACGGTTAACCATCTTCTCACAAAATGTTATCCGACGATGATATGACTGTCCAATGTATTCAGGGCATCTCCAACACAGCGTCCTTTAAATCGGACTCACTATTCATCCACGGACACTTCTGGATGTGTCCGGAGACACAAATATAAAAGCCGGTCATTGAACCGTGTGCATCAAATCCGGATAGCAGGGGATGAGCTATGTGAATCTAGAGGACAAAGCACATGGATTATGAGGACATGTGGTTCAACTAACAGTGGACCAAGTGAAATCCCGCAACCGTTGTATGATGTCCGGACTCCTATAAAGCTTCCCAAGTTTATTTTTCATTTGGCAAAATTTGAACGCGTGGAATGAACCACGGAAGTTTGAGGTCCCTTATTGGATGGCAAAAAGTGTCCGAACCACGTGGTCTGGAACTTTACGGACGTTACAGCCGGACCTAACAAATCCGGCCTCCAAAACAGTCACGGAACACATTCATGGGCATGCACTGACCGGTCACTCTTCAAATGTCCGTGTCCACAACAGGATACCTCAATAGTATATCCTTAAATCCATACAATATCACGCAACGTAAATTAAACTCACATACTACATATCGATCACATACATGGCATACAACTACTTCATCATACATGCCATCAGACTTTCAGAGATTGTCATGTTCTAAATACTAGAGCTATGGAGAAAGTTCAGCCAAGGCCGCCCTTGCCCCTGTCGTTTCCGTCTTTGTTGCGGAAGTAGCGGTCGAAGATGCAAAATGGATTGAGCCGAATCTACTCACCGTCGGAGCTGTCTTGATCCATCACTAGCTTCCTCCTCCTCTTTGGGGGGCAGTCCAAGCGCCATTTGCGCCAACACAATAGATTTGCATCGAAGTGACTCTAATCGTGGAGCTGGGGTTTTCTCTCTCGACCAGCGGAAACCCATCTGGACGGCCAACTCCTCGTCCTCGCATGAGTGAGGTCCCATTTGATAGATCAAGAGGTCTCAGAGTTGTATTCGTTGACTGTCATATTAGAGAAGGCTGGCCAAGAGCTTGGGAACGAAGTGGAGTTGCTAGGGTTTGGTTCTGGATGCGGATGGGACTGGTATATGTGGGTTAGGGTGGCCTTGTGTGTGACGGATCTGACATGGTGGATGCGTCTAGACCTCTCCACATCTATTGACATGGTGGACG